TGGCCACTACCAGAAGCCAGGCAGGGGTCTCCAAGTGGTGTTCACGAGGGCCTTTCCCCACCTGAAAGGTACTTGTCCACCTCTGCATCTCCAAGTGGCAGTGGTTTCTAGAGTGTTCCCCAGGGTCTTTCCCCACCAGAAAGGTGCTTGACCAGCTCTGGCTCCAAAAAATGTTGATTCTTCATTTTATAGTGGCCTGGGTGCTGTGGGCCTGGCACAGGTGGCCACTACCAGAAGCCAGGCAGGGGTCTCCAAGTGGTGTTCACCAGGGCCTTTCCCCACCTGAAAGGTACTTGGCCACCTCTGCATCTCCAAGTGGCAGTGGTTTCTAGAATGTTCCCAGGGGCTTTCCCCACCAGAAAGGTGCTTGACCAGCTCTGGCTCCAAAAAAGGTTGATTTTGCATTTTATAGTGGCCTGGGTGCTGTGGGCCTGGCACAGGTGGCCACGACCAGAAGCCAGGCAGGGGTCTCCAAGTGGTGTTCACCAGGGTCTTTCCCCACCTGAAAGGTACTTGGCCACCTCTGCATCTCCAAGTTCTCTCAACCTTCTACTGCTCCAGGTTCTCTCTATAGAATCAAACCCTCTGTCCTCTATAAAATGCCCTCAATTTTCATATATTCTCTATAAAATGAGGGTGGTCAACCTAGTGATCCATCAATATATGATTCTCTCACCTCAGATATCCTCAGAATGGATCTTTTTCAGGTAGGTTGACTTTTGATTCTATAGAAAATATCTATAAAATGCTAGGTCATTTTGGAGCTCGACCTCCCCCATTCTATAGGGGTTATTCCCTGGGGTATTATATATCAAACACTGGACGAAGGATTCTTTGACAAGACCTTCATTTCTAGGCTCCACATGAGTCTCCAACCGGTGGTGAGATGTACCTCTCATTCTACTTTGCATTCCTCCACCAAACAGCTCCAGTCTGCCACGGTCTGCCAGGCTGCTTGTCGTTGCCCAGGGTCTCGTTGTTCTGGGTCTCTTCCAAGGTGTTGTCGATGAGATCCATCAGGCTGGTGGGATTGGAGAACAGGTGAGGTCGCTTAGACGACCGCTCGAGGAGCTTGCGCGCGGAGCGAAAGCGCGCGGAGCTTGAGGTGGTAAAAGCGACCACGAGAGGTCGGTCGAAGCAAAGAGGAATGGTCAGAAGTGTCAATTCTTGGAGCATCTTGGGATCAAATCCTTCCACTTTAGAGATAGTGTTGTCCAATGGTAAAATGATGACATGGCCGTACTTCAAACATCTTCTCCATGCTTGAGCTAAAGAAGCCAGGCAGCGGCAGGTGCAACTTCAAATCCACACTAGCATTGAAAAAAACGTTGGACGACAGGAAAAAAGAAACAGGACTGCTGGATGAAAACAATCCGATTCACAAGTTGGTAGAAATACAAATTCTTGTCAAGCAGTGCAATTGGGTCAAACATGGTCTAACTATCCTCAGCAAATCTTCTCAAACACATCTGGATTGTCCCAGACTTCTATAGACATTGAGCTGAGAGCTGGTGCTAAGGGGCATCTGCAACAACAGGATGGCCCAGACGTCCAAGTCTACCCCCATTTGATCTGTGCCGATCTGTTCCCCAGGAACATGATTGGTTCCGTGGATCCGAGTTCCACCCGGTGCCCGTCGCGACTCCTCTGATACTCACTTCCGCGACGAATCAAGCAGGTTCAAACTTTCGTGGCAGATACGGCAATGATGTACCCTCCATTGACCCCGGCCATGTTGGATTGATAGTAGATGGCACCAATCCCCAAGTCAGGTGGTTTCTGGACCCCCATCGACTCAGGTGCCATGGGACTCGGAGCGTCGCTGAGGTCGTTCCGTTCTCGGTCCCTGGTGCCGTTTTCCAGCACGCCCAGCAAGGCATCTCGGAGCTCCTCGAGCTGGGGTATGACCAGATGGGAGGTATGACATGGTTTCACAGTATGACCACAGCGTGTCTATCTGGGAGTGGAGATGAGGGGCTTCAGGCCGAAAAGCTTCCGAAAAGCTTCGTGAGCTTTTTCAGGCGTTCTGTTCGCACGTCTGCACCATTTGGGAGGGGCCGTGCAGGCAGGTAAACAGCGGCCTGGCCTTTCTTGTGCAAATAAAACGTCCCAAGAACATCCAACAACAATCCAAGGGCTATGGTGCCGAAGATTTTGGTTATCAGGTCGGTCCAAAAGATATAAGAAATGTCCAAGTCCTGCAACTGGAAGCGCATCTCTGCTGCTTGACCTGGTCAATCCATTTGAGGCGCAGTCTTTCTTCACCCGGATGAACTCGGGGGTTGATCTTTTTGAACTGGAATCCTGGAGAATTCTGGGGCATGAAGCACCTGCACACTCACATGCGCATAATTGCAGTGCAGTGAGAACGGAAGGTCAGGTGTATGACACAAATCTTGAACTTGTAGTTTCCACTAAGATTTGCACACCATGAAGACTACCATGAAGATCACGCGCTGCCGGCGCGCCGGCGCGTAGGACTCTATGAACCTCGAAGCTCTTCGGCTTCCCGGCCTTCCAAGCACTCCACCACCAGCGCCTTTGCTGCGAAGCGCTCGCTGGGCGAGGCTGGCAGCCTGGCCGAAGCTTGCAACCTGGCAAGGTCCAGGGCTCTAGGGAGCTTGGCAGAGACCTCCTCAGGACCTCTTCAGAAAACTTCACGACTGCTTTTCAGAAACTTTAGGGATCTCACCACCCGCAGCTACAGCAGTTACAAAAGGGTGTGAGGATATGCTTCATCCAAGATGATTCAGTTCAGTTCACTCCAAGTGGTTCTTTATATATCCCCCTTGGTACCGACGGCAGGGCTTGATCTACAGGATCTATGGGATAACCAAGGGGGATGTTCTTTTCCAGTTCATGTCAACTTCAAGATTTGGATAAAAACCGCCAAACATCTGATGGCTGTTGGCCTAGGTCAACAGCAAGGCGCTCGTTCAGAGTCTAAAGGCGCTCGTGCACCCAAGCGCTTCCAACAATCATGGAAGTGGAACTAGTAGCGTCCTTGCTCCTAGCAGTATGGCCAGGAGCCCCTAGTAAGTAGCTTCTTGTTCCTCGTAGTAATGCCAGGAGCTGCTAGTAGCGTCCTGCTACATTTGATCCACCAGCACCCGGAATTCCAGCCCCGCCGGGGCCCAAGGAGCGTTTGCAAAGCAGCACGCCAATCCTTGCTGGCGCAGCAGGCTGCCAGGAGGGAATTCCAGGTGACAGAGGAGGGCACCAAGCGCAGGAGGCACATCCTGTGAAAACGAGAAACGCCAAAAAGAGGGAAAACACCGCGACTACCCATAACTCATCACCCTCCTTTCAGAAACATGAACGTTCCTTTAGTTATATAGAGGAAAATGCAACCCCAAAAGACATGGCGGACTTCCATTGTTGGGGCGGGGGAAAAATCAGGTGATTGAACCACTGGTCAGCAGTCCATGTTCTGTTGCCCTGGTTTGGGCAAGTTTTAGCAAAAGCATGCAAAATCACCTACTGTTGCTCTTTGGGCAATGCTTTTCCGAGACCAAATCACCAACAGGTCTCATGGCCACACATGGCGCATGATGTATAGCCTGGCTGTAAGATCTGCCCCAAAATGCTGCTGTCGCCGGACTCCAATCTACCAGTCCCTCTCCTTCCAAGCACACCTTGCGCGCTGGAGACATCCGCGGCCACGGACATGGCTGTAATGGCCGCATTGCCTCGCCGTGGGGTCACACCACAGGTGCCGCCCAAGAAAGCCACCCAAAATGCCTTGATCCTTCTTGCTATTGCTTAGAATCTTACATAGTTTTAGTTGCGAAATGGTACCAGGCTATATAAAAATCAAATCTCCTCCAAATGTTGGATCTGAATATCCTTGATCGTTCTTAGATATTCTTGGGTCGGTGTAATTGTTGTAATACGTATGTTGTAATTATGAATCAGTGGAGTTCCCAGCTCATAAATGCAACCGCAGCTGCAAGAGATCAAACTGGGCATCAGTTCCTCCTCCTCTCTCAGCTTCAGCACTTGCAAAGCCTCAGATCAACCTAACAGGTTCAGCAGCACACCGTTTATGAGAAAACTAAACGTAATACCACGTAATCATTGCATAAATATCATCCATATAAATTGTAAACAAATATATATATATATATACATCACAAACACTGACGCCATGACGGCCACAACACAACCTCCTAAGAATGCCATCCAGGTACTCGCGCCCATTGCTGGCCACTTGTGCAAGCACTCGTCACCTGAGTTGCAAGCGATTTGGAGTTTTTTGAAGGGGCTTGATTATCACACAGGTGGGCAACACAACAACCAGGAAGTGATATATACACGAGAAACTCTTTGACAAGGTTGCTATCTGAAAAGGCGGTTGTTCTGATTCGGAACATGCAGCTTTTGGTTTGGCACGATGTTCGGCCACCGGTTCACCGGTCCCAACTACCGGTGTTCCTCATCTCTCCCTCGCTCCCTCGCCGGCGTTCCGCATCGCACAGTCCTTCTTAAGGGGCGCGCCGTCAACAAACACAAACACACACATGACATCTTTCGCCACAGAAACCGTGTTGAAGGCCACGTCATCCGCACGCAGGAAGGTGTGTTTCAAGGATAGCAGCATCTCCAAGGCTTCTGGCCACTGTTTCGCTTGCCTCAGGCAGCCGCATGGAAAGCCATACCGCGTGGGGTGAGGTGTGGCAGCCACGAGGGTTTCACTGATTAGTCCTCTTTGCGATTTTGGTCTCATACATTTGTTTGCTTGGTTTTTTGGGGCTGTGTGTCGTTCCATTGGCCACTGGGCACTTTTGGGCCCCTAAGCAGGCCAACCGCCGCATGTTGGGAGCAAGGGCTAGGTGTTCACCTCGACGATAAACATGACCTGTTGACTGTTGAGGGCATCGGGAACCATGCATTATAATATATCTTCGCCACATGCCGGGGTGATATCCAAAACCTTCCTGCAAAACGAAAGGGACTGTGAATCAAAACAGCAACTAACTCGCCTAGCCCGTCAGGCCTCCCCCTCTAGCAATCCTGATATTTGTGGGGGCGTCTCTGATTCCAAACTCTGCAAGTCTTCCTTCAACCCGTCGAGTCAGCGGAGCGTCTCACAAGCGCTTGCCACTGAGCTAAAACTGATGACAGTTGGCCGCAGCTGAGCGTCCTGGCACTGCTGGCCGTGGACATCCCAGATCGGAGCAAGGTGCGAAAACTACTCACTACAGCAGGATGCAGCAATGCTTTTGCGAGTTTTTCTGCAGTAAAGCTACGGCCTCAAATTAGATCCGTACAGGACAAGGATATGATTGTACGGGATCTGGATATGTCCAAAAAATATATGGGCAGAAGGCCGAAGACCCCAAACAGTGTTAAGGATTAAACTATATAATAAGCCAACTTCTGCAGTCTAGAGCACACACATGAGAGCACGCACAAGCACGGGTGTGAGTGAGCACACATAACAAAGCACACCTTTTGAGAACACACATGAGAGGACCATGTGAGTAAGCACATGAGCACACGTATGACAGGTTCACAGATTGCTCCACAAAATCTGCATTTCCGGGTTCACGAAATACAGTGGCTGAAACGGGATCTGCGCCAGGAAGAATTGAGGGCACTACCAATACTCAAATCATATATATATACGTAATTATTATATATATATGGGTGTTTGCACTGCGCCTTCGAGGATTGCAAAGTGCCCGCCTGAAACAAAATCTGCACATCGAGGTTTACAAACTGCTGTTCCTGCCACAAACTCTCCATGCACTTTACCCAGCCTCAACTACTACCGTAAGAACCCCTAGTGTGACCAAACTGCTTGAGGATTAAAGCATATGTTGCAAATGCACAACTCAATGAGGTCAAGGACCTGGTTTAGCATGGTTTAGGACCTGGTATGGATGGATCTGTAGGACCTATTGAATAACACCATGCAAAACAAACTTGCATGGGTGTCGTGGGTTGGAGGTGACAGCAAGCAGGTCCTGCAACTGCTCGAGCAAAGCCAGCGCCAAGTCCTCAAGAGAAGAAAACATGAGGTGAAAAGGCTTGGAAGAGCAAAGGGCAGGAGAACATGGAGGAAAAGAAACCCTTGAACTGATGTAGACTGTAGCCAACTGGGCGTAGCAACCAGGGTGACAACTCTTAAGAAACCCCGGTCCGGTGGAAACTGTGTTTAGTAACTATCTTGTCGGTGTATGGGAAGTAACATCGCAACTCTTATGAAACTCTTGCTATATATATATAACAACTATATTATATAAGATCACAACTCTTAGGAACTCTTATGAATTCCCGATGTTTCACCATGTGTATATTAATCAGTTTCGCTTTTCCCTCGAAACTGGCGGCTCGTGTCGTGGATAGCACTTCCTTCGTGCTGCCACAGCGTACCTCCATCCCACTGAGGCTAGGGTCCCACTGATGACCTTGATCACAGGCGGCCATCGTCGCATTGAAGCTCACCACGTCGGCGGTCAGTCCATACTGAGGAAGCCTTGGTGGTTTCGGTCTCCGGTGGCTCCACTCTACCCCAACCCATGCATTGCCAATGCATGGCATATTTACCTAGGAAGCAACATCTGGTTGGCACGTGAAAAATACCAGTCAGTGGGTTCAATCATCCCATGTGAAGGTTGAAAACAAAAATCTCCGAAACCATCACCTAGAAATGCCATGCCATGCTTACAAAGGCCATGGGCACCTGGATTTTGCATTTTGTAAAGGAACGAGTGGACCATTTTATAAGGGGGCTTTGTAACCCCTATAGAAATGCCATGCCATGCCATTTCGTGTCTGGGAATGGAGTGTTATGGAACGGTCTGCATGGAGCGGCCCATCACCGCGTTTGGGGAGGTGAACGACGTGTTGGGAAGGCTGTTGATGTGTATGTTTGCATATGAGATGTGTATGTAAATATATGTCAATGTGTATGTAACAAAAAGAGGGAGAGAAAAACAGATGGACTCCTGATTTACCATGATTTACATGTTCTTCCATTCCACGCTGCGATCGTTTGCACACCCTGCCGTGGGCTCTGGCTTTGGTCTGCTCAAAAAAATGCGAGTGCGCGATGCTAGCTCATTTTATGTCGTCTGTTTGGAAATGGAGTATGGTATGGATGATTGGTGTTACAGCGGCCCTCCCGGTCACTGTCCTTGACCCGCCATTTTTTCCTCCTCCGCCGCGTCACGAGAAGAGAAGCGCTAAAGCCCGCTCCCATTCCCCTGCCTGTCGAGAGCGCTGCTTCATTCGGTCACAACTGATGTTGAGCACCCACTGCCCAAGACCCTCGTTGTATGCAATCGTTCTCCCAAGCTCTCAATGAAGAAGATCGACATAGAGCTGATACTTTGGAGCTGATACTATAGAGCTCATTTGTCAATCTTCACCTGTCATCAGAGCCACGTCCCGTCCTCGCGCCTCAGCGCAAGCAGTCATGGCGGCGTTCATGAGAGCCACGTCCCGATCTGCGGCGAGGTCCCGTGTCACGTTTCACATGGAAAGGATCTCAACGCCTGGAATGGCTATTCCAAACGGCGGCTATGCTAAGCCCAGTTCCGGAACTGAGATGGAGTATGTTCAATGATAGAGCTGCTTCAAACGTTTTAGACTTACTGTAGGCATCTTGGCGTCTCAACTCAACAACCATGGCCCCTTCCAATCCCTTCCATGCACAGGTGTTCAAGGCATGTAAGTCTGTCGAGTGGGTCACATACAGTTCAATCTGCGCCAAAGAAACATTTGCCGAGCCCAAGTGCCCAGTTTTCACGGTTGATCAGTTCCTCACCCAACAGCTGGCCCAGCTGCTGGGTCAAATCCCACCATCTGGACTGAAACAAGTGCCTTTCGAATGGGAAAGGTAAAGCAAGGCTTCTTCCCAGGTTCCTGGCGGCCAAAGTGGTGCAAGCGGGAAGTCTTCGTTGCCCCTTGCGTCACCTCTGGCTTCTCGCTGAAGAGGTTGTTCAATCCAAATATGTAGGGTACAAAGGTAGTAACTGTCTTTTTCACACCATCTTTTCACCTGCCACTTCCACCATTACCCGTCAACATGATGTGTAGGGCCGTGTGTGGATGCGAATCGTCCGCAAGGCAAGTACCTCCGGGCTCCCCCCGAGCCCGGGCGCCCCGCGTCATCGGCGCGCGAGACGGGCTCGCACGCCCAAAACGCCTGCAGCTGTGATGCTGGAAGTCCAGGTGTGCAAATCTGGCTCGATCCTTCCAGCAACCCAACTGATGGTAGATACTTGAAGGCGCCCGAAGAGACGATGATCGATGTCTGTAGAGTCTAAACGTGTATAAACATCGCTGCTGTTTGCCATGCACGTGGATGTGGCAAACAAGAAAAACGGTGCGTGCGCACAGTTTTTAGCTGTCTGCCCTTTCATGCTTCTGTGCCACACGTGCCTAGAACAGCATGACCCAAAAGAGACTCCATTGTGGCGGTCCATGAGAAGCATAGGAGTCTGGCCAGTCAAACAACACCTGCCCCACTCGCCTGCGCCGCTCCATCGCGGTGTGGATTAAGGCTGGCACCGGCCCCTGGGCCAGGATAGTATTGAAAGAGATCACGTCGGGAGCTAGGCGCCTCAGGCAAAACACGGCAGAGGGAAGATCATGGGGATGCATCGATCAAAACACACGAATCAAGCGATCAGGCTGAGCCAAGGAGCCAAGGTCCAGCACAGACGACTCCAAAAGTTTCTTCAACCCAACATGAGCACCTCTGTTGATCTGTTTTCCGGGTGCTACGTTCGTAGCTTCTTGTTACGTTCGTAGCGCTCGCCTCCAACCTCATAGCGATGGCCTCCAACTTCAACCTAGCTTCTGGATTGTTACGAGTTGTGCCCACCATGGTGGCCCCAAGAAATCATATGTTGAACATTGAGGGTACCGAGTGGTGTCGATGTGCATACGATTCCGGTCTTTCTAGATGGTTAGCGAGGGGGTGATGCAAGGGAAAGGCAGCACTTGGACCAGGGGTGAACTTGCAAAACCGCTCCTCAACGGGATAAGCGGTGGTCAGGGTGTTTCATGGTTTTGCGTTGGATGTTTCCACTGTGGTCTAGCCACTATGGGTGCAGTGCGGAGTTTGTGAAACCAAGACTTGCACATGTCGACCGACACCCCAGCGACTGACCAGATGTGGTCACTTCCATGGGAAGATATGGGAAGTAAACTTCACTGACTGTCAATGCATTATGCAAAACGCTCCCTTTGCTAACCCAAGATGAAATCTGCCAGAAAGTGTAAGCGAATTGCCTTACAGTATGAGAAACTCAATCCTCCGGAATCTTCCACGCCTGTACCACTGCACATGGTCACACATGCCGCCATGCTGCCTGCTTTCCAAATGTTCCAGCAGAGCCAGGCTCTTGCACCAGTTACTCGTGACCTCCCGCTCTGGGTCGACCACAAATGGGGCAGCAAAAGGTCGAACACACAGCAAAAGGTCCACTCCAGGAGACTCATCCTATAGAGGTTAAGTGACCTGAACTAGGACCCATAACCAGGGGTACCTATAGGATAGTCTAGTTCGGGTTCTTCAACCTCTGCTGGATCACAAAAAGGATCACAAAGGCGAAAACAAAGGTGTTGAAACGCCTACAGTACTGCCATGGTCACTATGTGATACAACCATAATCACTATGTCCCAACACAGTTAGTGTCCCAACATGTTCGGTCTTTGAATCCACACCCCATAACACCAACAAATACTCTTCGCCGATCCCTCCAAGACATCTCAAGCCTTGAGGCAGGTGTTCAACGTGATGACATTGGGCTGCAACTTGCTGGCGTTCATCTCCTGGCTGATTCGGCTGCTTCCAAAGGAGAGGATCGTAATCTTTTTCTTGCACCTTTGTGCAAGAACTTCTTGCCAATTCTTCGAAGCTTTTTGCAGGGTTGGTGTATATATATATACATTAATATGTATATTACTTATATAATATATATATATATATTTTTTTGCTTTGCGTGTTCTAACTGTTGATACCGTACGGTCACCGTCCACCGCGCACGCGCCTCCAAGAGCTGCAAGGCACCTGGCCAGTCACCTCGGGACAGAAAAAGCCCAGCCGGACAACGTGGCGGACGACGTCGTGGGCGGCTGAGCTTGGTTTAAACAGATTTGTGTTCGGGGATGCACCCACCAGGGATATTCTAGATCCTTCAAGATCCAAATCCGCGGTTTTACCATTCGGATGAGTCCAAGATAGTCCGAGATTCATTGGGATAGCATACAATACCCTTGGGTCCATTTTACATCCACTTCCATGCGACCTCGACCCGTCAGGTCGAAGGAAGGTGGATGCTTTCGGACACGGGTACGGGTCGACCTGTAAGTTTCCACACTCCATGGGACTGCCATAGGACTGCCGATCAGTTGGGTGGTGCCAGGGACTTATACTACATAAAGAGCCCCTATTTCCTTTCTGACATTCCCTTCGATTTCGGTCAAAGGTGCGGCATATGTTCCAGTCCCATTCGTCGTGCCTGGCTTTGCTTCTCCCACTTGGAAGTGCCATTCGCGCCCTCTGCGCCCGACTCGTGTACCCTCCCCGGAACTAGTATGGAAGTGGACAACCTGCATTCAGAAAATGTTCTTGCAGGGGGCCATGCCATCCAGTTCCATGTTCGTCTCAGGAAGTATCATCACCTTCACCTTCACGTGTCCCCAAAGGAACACACGCACGACGAGCTTACCAGAACATGTTCCCAGTAGCATCCCCCAAAAAAATCCATCACACCGGTCTTCAGTGTGTTTTCGATCGTGACATTCACCCAAGGTGATGCTGACATTTGCCACAATTTGGAAGTCAAGCACCCACAAACAACAGTTGAATTGCAGATTGCGCCTAGGACCTGCTGCCTTTGGTTGGTCGGATGACATGGTTCCATGCGAACGTGACATGGATGCTGGAGCCTCTGTAAGGTTGATGGATTCATTCACCTTGGACTCACAAGTCCCAAATGCGTTCGCTTCTGCCGAAACGAATGGCGTCTCCGCAAGTTCATACCGATTCATACCAGTAGTGTATGCACCAAAGAACCCCTCACAAAAATGGGGCAGACAGTGGATCTCACCCCAAAACGGGCATCATCATGATCTCCAACACCTCTCTCTCTCCCTCTCCGGGCTTGGCGGTCTCGCTGGGAATTCTCGTTGGGCGAGACGGAGACTGACTCACCTCGTGCGGTCGGGTGGCACTCCATGGCCGTGTTGAAGGTCACCGTGCTGGGTGCGACCTGCGCGGACGGCGGAGGAGGCCCCAGTGGGGGAAGCCAGTGAGAAACCCGCAGACGACCCGATGGCACGGTGAACCATGGTCCCCCCACAGGACGATTCATGACTATTCTCATGTACCACCCAATGGCTGGTCCTCTGCACGTGGGTAAGCTAGCCGTAGGCATCCGTAGGCTAGCCGTCAGCTAGCCACAATGAGCGTGTCACGTGTGCGCATGAAAGTGTGTGACACCACGCAGTCTCCAGCGGATTCCAACACTAGCGTAGCGGGGAAACCTTTTAGACTAACCGACCCGTCGTTCAGTCTCCGGTATGGTGGGGCCTTCCAACGGGCACGGCCTGGATACACACGTCCACCTGTCCGCATTGTTGGCGGTAGTGAAGAGACGACGCCCACGCTCAGCTCCGCTCAGCTCCGCCTGCTGTACGCGCATGCGTTGCAGCAGGGGCCCTGCCAAGTGCCGAGGGTTGCTCTTCATGATGCTGTTGTAGGTCACTGCGTCCGGCGCCACCTGACGCATTTGTGTGGGTGTGTGTCGTGCTCCAGCCTCCAATGGGGTGCAGCCATGGTTGGGAACACCAGCAATGGATCAATAGAATTCAATAGATAGATACCAGCAGATGCCTTTGGCTCTTAAAATTGTCTCATGCGCAAGTGGGAAACAATCTGCATATTAGATAGATCATAGATCATACTAAACAATCTATCCTGGTATCTCTCCTGTCGCCGACGGCTACGAGCGGGAGTTGATGAAGAGGTACGCTCTGTAGATGATGACTGCCCCGCGCTCAAGTGGTGATACAACCCGGGAAGCCAAGTTCAGGTTGATGTGAGAAGTCAAGGCGCCAATGCCAAAAGTAGGGCTGCGAACTGTGAGCAAGAAGGTAAAAAAGCCAACACTGGTGAGCATCCCATCAATGATCAGCGTTGATCAGAGTGACATAATCATCCACCGACTAGCCCTAAATTGTATTTTATGTGCGCTCCCTGGATGACAATTTTCCTCTACAAGGGGAGTCTGCTCAGCTCACACCAGGATCTCAAAAATGGATCCCTACCACAACTTAGTAGTGCTTAAGCTTCGAAGCCACCACCGTCCTGGGCACACACACACACACCAGGTCCCCTAAGGGATGATTAATGGACACCCCTTATAACCTCTAAGGGGCTATGATTAGATACCCCTGGCACAACCACACACGCACACACACACATATAATATATATATAGACACACACACTACCTTCTGGGGAGGTTCTAGTTCCAGTCTTGGGAATGATTCCGGGAATAACCTCCTGACTTCCCGACTTCTGCCCGTCTGACGGCCTCGAGACCTTCCATGCATTCCAGCAAGGTGAGGCACATCCGCCAAGGCAACGAGCTCATCACTGAGTTGAAACTCACCACGTCCTGACACTGGGCGCTGTGCCAGCTGTGCGTCATGGCACTGACTTGAAACAAAGCTAAGAAAAGAAAGATCTCCTTCCTTGGCTGTGGTATTCCGCAGTAGCCTTCCCAACAAACATGCCGCCAAGCCTTGTGGGTTTGCATGGTTATAATGGCATCATTGCTTAAAGGCGTAGGAATGGATGATGCTGGCGTCCACCACGCCTGTCTCAACTGGAACGACTTTGGCATGTCCCAGAGAAGGCCCAGAGAGAGCGCCCACTGCTTGCTGCGGGCACATGCAGCGATGACCGTGTTGAGGCTGTAGATGTCTGGGCTAAAACAGCGGCTCAACAGGCCCAACGCCTGCGGAAGGTGCTTCCAAATGCCCCAAACAGTCCATGGGGCTGGATCATGGGTGCTTGCAGGCCTGAACTGTCGAACCACAACTGATCAGGCAGCTCCACACCGGTGCCAATGATCCCCCAACAAGTAATTAAACAGTTAACTACTCCTCTCCTAAAAACTATCTGTCACATCTTGGGTTCCAAGGACTTGCCCAAGACTCTTAAGCGTTGGTGGAAGACGTTTTGCCGCTGATCGCGCTGGGCGGTTTTTTAAAGAACACCTTCCCCGCAAGCTCTTGCTCTAAAGCAACAGCTCACCGAGATTCTAGCGCAGGAGGCAGGAGGCAAAGGTGTTCGGAAAGCCGATGACAATTCACAATTCAACATGAAAGGACCTTGATCGTCACCACATGTCAAAACAATGATGAGGTCTAAAGGATGGAGACAAACCCTAGGGATCCAAGTACCTTGTCAGGTGATTGGAGAATGCTGAATAAGCATGTAGGTTTGGAGGGTCCAGTCGTACCTTCTGAGGACGTGCTGGCATCCCTAGGGAAGGAAAATTACTAAATCACCAAGTCAAGTCCTACAAGAATCCCCCACGAAGAAGCTGCTCATCAAACGTGTACCGAAAAACGACTCACGACGCAAACATGACCACTGCGGCCGAAAAAACGTCCTCTCCCAAAAACGGACACCACGGAAACTTCACCGAAAAAACCCATGCCTGACGCCACTGCTTCCTCTGAGCATACGCCTTTAGGACCTGGTTCACCTCGAACAGGTCGCCCTTGAGCCCTTCGGGTGCTCCACTCCTTAGAACGAGGCGACCGGGGCGACTGGACCGTTGGAGCGTTGGACGTATGGCTGGTCCCAGACACGACTCATGGGACTGCCATAGGACTGCCGATCAGTTCGGGTGGTTTTGGGGTCAATGTAGGTCCAGTCAGGGGAGTCCCATGGAGTGTATGGGGGTGCTGCAGGTGTGCCGGAGTGCCTCTTAGGCGTGATCTTATATACCTCTTGCTGTTCCACGGCGTGTCGGAGTGCCATAGCCTCACAAAGGCAGTTGGATGACTGTCCTGAAGAGCGGATGAGTGCTCTTCAAGACTCCCCCGCTTCAGTGCCGTTACTCCGCCCTGCCGCAGCGGAAGAACCACAAGAAGGTCCACAAGAACTGACCTGCACAATCAGGTCCAGGTCAGTTCTTGTGCAGGGTCAGGTCTTGCATATAGTTAACTGTGGTCAAGAAGGTCCACAGTATAAGTGAAGGAAGACTGTGATTCACGCATACTATATATATATATCTATCTCTCTCTCCTGCCGGGCCCCTATCAACATCGACGCTGGGTCCAGAAAAAGGTACCAAAACTATTTCCCATAACAGGTCCAAAGGCAAGGGAGACCGCGTGCAAAGGGAGCATGGTTTGACTCCTGCAATGTGGGAGTTTTCGGGCGCGCACCCAGTTTTAAAGAGATTCCAATGGACGATGTCCAGTTTGTTACGATTGTTCTGCCATCACCATCAGGATTCTTCGATGAGGTTTGAGGCTAAACAAGGGGGGGCCACTGACAAAACCACCTAAACATACCGAGAACCCTCAAGGAAGAAAAGTAGAACCATCAAACAAGGTTCATGCAAATCCCCGCCAGCCACCACCTTCTTCGGCGCCGCTGAGGGGTCTCAAGGCGCTTCCGCCTGCTTGAACGCCGGTGCTCGCGACGTGCTGTTTGGCTCGGGGTGAGGTGGTCAACTGGGTGGGCTCTTGACATGGACTTCTTGACATGCCCGCCAAGCCTTGGCCGCCAAGCCTTCTGCTTGTCATTGCTATAGTTATACTGGGTACTGATGACGAGTCGCCCTCTTCAGAAGGTGTGCCACTTGAGGTGTGTCTCAAACGGCTTTTCATTCATGACGTGGCATAGGTCTTTTGCCATGTAATGCTTTGCTGTGATTCTGCGTTCTTTTCACATCAGCCCACTGAAAGTGCCAGTGCCATAACCTTTCTGCAGCAACACCGTGGTGGTTCAATCTGTGACGCGCGATTAAGCTGCTGGAATACCCAGCTTCGCGCCTTCATCTCTACAGCTCACATATGCAGCCATGGCTGTCAGCAAGCAAAGATATAATCCAAGTTGAAGTTCCGAATGACCATCGGTCTGGGCAACACCAGGTGCTCAAGTTCAAAGAAGGACCGAAGGACCCCTCAAAAGTCAAGTGAACGTGTGCTCTGCGGGGTTGAAGACTCGGCCACAGGACCAACATCCGACGACTGAGGGGCCCAATAGTGCACAGCTAAGGGGAGTGGGTAGTGGATGGATGGGGCGAGAAGTCGAGCCGGGACGAAGCCAGAAAGAATCAATCACTTCCCCCACATGGATTAACATGAATACCTCAAGACCAGCCACACGCATCGCTATAACCAGTAGACGATCTGATCTGTTTTGACCCACACCGTGATTCTCGGGACAGCCATGCACATCTCATCTCGAATATCTCCCGCTGTTTTGTTCACTTAATTTTGAGCATGTGCCAAGCATGGCTTGAGCCGCCGGGCGCGTTGGGTCCTGAACATGGCAGAACATGGCGGCGCTGTGTTGCGAGGTGAGATATACCATGTCCGAAGGGAATCCATCTGCCGTCGGTGAACTTTGGTGAACTCCAACATACGGAACTCCAAGCGTTTGGTTTTCTGGGGTCCTTCTGTGAGCATCTGGTGGTTTTCATTACTCTACTGGGGTCCATGTAGATACAAAAAACTAGCTATACCAAATGCTACCACAAGCCCTTTCAATGCTTCCCCACCTCCCCACATCGTGGGTGTCTTTGAACGCTTTTCTCCACGACGAACTCGCGGCTTGGCTGCGAGTCAGGCTGGGTCGTCGCCCGGTCGGGCGCAAGGGCGCAGGGGCCACCCTTGACATACCGGGGGGGAGGGGAAGTGTATCAACACACAGCCGGGCTGGCCGAACAAATCGATGCATCTTGGAATCATAAGGCACGTGGTGCGTTCCATGCAGAAATGTGTGCTGTCTTTCCTGCATGGTTGACAAGCAGGCAAGCAGGTAGGACTGTGTAGGAATAGAGAGGTTCCAACGAAAAAACTCGCTCCCAGATTGTTGCAGGGGTCGGCAGTAAATATTGATTAGGCCCCTGTATGCTATTGCTTGCATCCAATCTCCAAGAGAAGTTGCTGTGTTCATCCAATTCATTGGCGTCATAATTGCGAAAAGCCGTAGCCTCGGGGCATTCTGCGTGTACCCTTCTCTATCTTTCTCTATCTTGGGGTCATAGTCTCATAGTCAGGGACCCCTTGCAACAGGATTCCGGAATACCTCAACAATTGCCTCAATGTCTTTTGTGTGTTTTATGGCCCTTCCGCTCCCCAAACCGCTGCATCTCTGAGTGAACCTCGCGCATTGGATCGTTCCCCTCCAGGGGACTGGAAGTCGCTGAAATCGCTGCTTCTGCGAGAAGGGATTGATCGCCTTCCCCGAGCACAAAAATGATATATAGCTAAGCAGTTTCCAAGAACAGGTGGCCGAAATCGATGTTGAAACTGAAGGATCTCGTGAAAAGGGTCCACCGTGGACACTGGTCGAAGTTCCGGGAACATGTGCCTGTGTCAGTCTGTGTCAGTCTGTTTCTCCAGTCAAGCATCCAGGAGTTGACCAACCATGCAATTTCAATTTGTTGTGTACCTCGATTCGTCTTTGTCCTTGAAACATCTTGAAACCAGCGACGAGGGATTGAAGGAGATTGACATAACAGGATCCTGGGTATGAACAATGCCTGTCCCCAAGCCCAACCTCAGGGCGAGGTCAGCAGCTTGACCTATAACACGCATGTTTCGTGCCTGTCTACCAAGAACTTGCACCACGGCCGAAGGCCAGTCACTTGGAAACCGCGGGTTTCATGGATCAAAGGCCACCGGGCACTGCGGGCGTTGCTCGCTGTTGTGCACCATGTTGCGCCTCAGAAAACCTCGTGAAACCGGCTGATTACTGCACTAAGGCAACCGGCGGTCCTCTTGGCTCTTTGAACCATGACTTGGTGACACGAAGAAAAACATCAAATTGCATCAAATTGCTTTCAAACACTTCTCGCAAACTTCCACCATCTTCCACCTCCTCCCAACTCCCCACACAGATCCACAGGTTCCTTGCCGGAAGATCCTTAAACAATCGATCCAAGCAAAGCACAACCACTCGCGGGGGAGCTATTTGTGGGAAACAGGTGGAAGTGGTATTGCTTCCAACAATCCTCGGACATTCCAGTGTTTCATGATGTTTCATGTTTACATCGTGGACAACCGCTGACACCCCGTTCTAGCAAGCCAAAGAATCCTGGCTAGACACAGGGTCACAAGGACTGCTGCATTTCAGGTGGTCCCTGTAAGGACGGAGTTTTTCGGGCCATGTCCTCCGCAGGACACGCTACACACGCGATTGAATGAGGATGCTTCTCAACCAAGTTGAAAGGTAAGTCACCGCAAGTCCTTCATTTCATTGTGCTTCAGCAGCTGCTTCCTGACCATACCAAGACTAGATTCTCTCCCCTCCTGCTTTTTCTCCCTCTCTCTGTATGCCCCTGCTCTCGCCCAATCGCAAAGAATGGCGCAGAACCACAGAGAATTTCAAAGCTCATCTTGATTCAATTTGATTCAAGAGAATAGTATATATATATATATATAAGAGCTTAGCCTCACTGCTTAGCCTTGTGTTCTCAACGTTTCGGGAACCGAGGAAAGGTTCACGTCTTCGGTCCCCGCAGAATCGCCACCCCCGTGTTCAGGCACAGCTGGCCCGGGCAACGCAGTTGCAACACTGGTTGTGCACAGTGGGGACTAAGGGGGACACCATTGGCAGCCCTATGTCAGGATTAAATGTGTATGTATATATATATCCTTTAATGTATATAGCAGTGGCAGCAGTAGTCATAATCTCTACGGCCATTTCACCCACTCTCAACCAAACAAAGCTGGATCGCAACTGATGACGTGTTTCAGACTCAGAGCTTCCAAGACGACTCATAACCCGTTCTCAAACCCAAATGCTCCATGGGACCGGCATCTATGCGGCCCCATTCGCCCCCAGGTCCAACTGATGGGGTCCGATCGCGCGACCCATGGCGCGAACATGTGCTGACTTGTTTCTCAGGTTGAGAAGCAGCCTGTCTGACGCCGAGATGATTCTTCTCCACTCAGTAGTTCGGGATGTTCACATATTCCGGGGCAATAGGTGCTGCTTGTTGCATACTGTCGAAACATGGGCCAATTTGCAGGATTGACGCAACCCAGAATGACCAACATGCGGGCGCAGTGGCCACCCCCTGTCAACCCATTCTCAGTGTCCTGGGCCTACCTGAACATCAAGGTGACTTTCAACCGACTTGTCGACCTGTTTGGGTTTAAAAGTTCTAGCCGATATTCGATCCGTCTATTTTCCCTTGAGGATACATCAAGAGCCACTACGGGTTGGCTTTAATAAGAGCCTCTACGTGCACTAACTGTGCACCCATCACCCGTTCCTGAGCGATCTTCCAAGCGCCTCCCTTTACATCTCGGAGGGCGGTCGACTGGAACTCTACGGCGCCATCGCGGGGAAGCTGTACGAAGCAAAAGCGGGCACGGGCATTCTCCGTTTTGTAGGACTTTAGAGGTACACTCCCTGGAACATTGAAGTGTAAAATTGGCCCCTTGGGCAAAGCTTCCGAAGACCATAAACACCGGATTCTGCTGGAAAGGCTTGCGCAGCTACTGCTCCACTCCCTTGGCAGTCCCCCATCTTTGCAACCGCAGGATGTCCTTCGCTAACCTACGACAGTTCCACCAACTCCCGCACGACCTGAGGTTAACTCAACCTCAGCACACAGGGTGGTTGCACGATGTTGTACGAAGATCCACATGGTTGCATTCCTTCAGAGTTTCAGTGTCATGCCAAGTTGAAAATTCGCAGGCGCACACGGAAGGGGGCGGCCGACTGCGCACGACTGGGAAGGAGATCTCCATGCCACGGCCGGAGATCAGGAGAGATCCTGATCTTCATGTGTCAAGGCCAAACATCACAACTCCAAAGGGTGTTCAATGGAAGCCTATAGGTAGTGTGGGGTAGTCCATTGGGCACCCCGACAGGAGGGTCCTGGTATATATATATATATATATTATACTTATATACACAACTAACTTACATATACCAGCAGATTCAATTGTGTGCTTAATGGAGGTTAGGGGTGCGGATTATCTAGGGACTAAACACAACCCCTTTGTGACCCCTGGTGTATACAGTATATGTGTGGGGTCATCTAGCTCATGTGTGGGGTCGTCTTCCCTCTTTCAGTGCTTCTCCTGGAGCTTCACCGCCGTGGTCGAAAATAGCGGAATGCCACATTCAAGTTTGTTTTAACACCTTCAAGTCTGCTTTTCCAGGGTTTAGATGCTACGTGTACATAGACATTCCTCTTGATCTACAGTACATTTCCTGTCATCCTCCCCGCGCTGGGTCTGATTCTTTTAGACCGCAATCCAGGGCCACGTGCTAATAAAAAGTACACATTGATGAAAGATTGGACAATGGTCTGTTCAACGATTGTGAGGACACTCTCACACGTGACCCCCTTTCTAGCCTGGCAGCGGTCGCCAGCTCATGCAGCTGCCCGTTCAGCGTTCAGCTTTCCCGGCCCGTGCAGCTGGAGGCTGGACGGGCTGGACGGGCTGGAGGGCTCGGGATCTACCTAGGATCCATCATCGTGCTCCTCTGGCTCATGACACTGCCCTGCCGGCGGAGAATCAAAATCCTGGGCGGGCCGGCGAACGTGGGTGTTTTTTCGAGCTCTTGGGGACGGATCTTGGGGGCTCACACGAGGGTAAAGAATCACGGGACACACACACAAGTATATGCAGTCAGCACAGCATCCCGATTGCAAGATTGGGGAGATCAATGTCTATTTGACCAAGTTGATGTTCAAGAAGTGCAATCCAAAATGGAATAGGCAGTGGGGTCACATGTCATGTCATGTCATGTCACACCCCCGCAAATTAAAATTGCAATTAAAACATGTGCATTGCAATAGGCAAATACCTCTCTATGTATATATACAATAGTTTATTAATGTGTTATATTATGTACAATATACTAAATAAAACCCGCGGACACAAATCCACAGATGTTCTTTATATGAGGGTTCATATCAACCACCTCCTGGCTCCCCCATCTGGCTCCGTTCACTCGTTCACATGCCGCCGCCCAAGGGCGGGCGTTTCATCTCCAGAACAACCTGGATGAAGACACTATCTTAACAACTCTCTTACCATCCAAAAAACGAATAAATGCCAGATAATGCCGGAATTGCATACAATGTCCAATCAATTTCCATGAAATGACAGACCTGGTCAAATCCTCCCCCCCAACCCCCCTTGTTCACCCCCCTCACCCCTCACCCTCCCCAGCACCAGCTCTAGCACGACCGCCTGCGTTCGTTGGGTGAGCTGGAGGCGCGGTGCAAGTCCAGCGGAGCGCCCGGAGGAGCCAAGTGCCCCTCGGTCCAGTCGGTCTGACGCTCCATGTTGTTTTTCAGCTTCAGTCCCCCCAAAAGAACAGAACGAGTGAGGAACCTTAGCATGTGGTTCCTGTTTGAGGTTCCAAAGCCATACTGTCCTCCGCCAGTTTAGCTAATTACACTCACACGTAGTCGCTATCTTCTCATGTCTTCTAGGTTTGCTGGCCATTATCCTGCAAATCTCTCGTAGAAACATTGGCAGCACAAGTCTTTGCCAATTGCTAGTGGCTAAAGGATTAGTAACTAGTAATTGATTAACTAGTAGTTATATGGTCCGCTTGACAGTGAGCTGAGCTGAGCTAGTGACATTCTGGTGGCAGCTGGCCCCCATTCAACACAAAGGATGTCTACAGCAGGGTTGCAAGTAGCGTTTTGACTTATTATTGTATACAGCAGGAGAATGCGAAACCTCTATCCAACATGATCCGATATTGATATTGTACGTGTCCAACTCTCAGTGAAAGTGCTCATGATTATCATGATTTATGACCTTCAATGATTTGGTGGATGCTTTTCGTTGCACGGGCACAGAATCATGTGCAGTACCCAAACACTCCATGTATGCCATATATGCCTACATTGACCCCCCAAACCACCCGAACTGATCGACAAATATGGCAGTCCCATGGAGTGTCTGCGGTAGTGAATGCTGATGTTCAACAGGGAACTTAACTCAAAAAGGTGATCAACTTGCAGCTGCACACGAGTGACAGCCCAGACCGAACTGCCCCTGCCCCTGGCGACGGCGAATCTCCCAAACAGGTAAATATGGTGAATCTCCATGATTGCTCCACCATGTTGACATATGACTCACATGACTCTTGCTGAGTCAAAATGTGCGCCATATTATGACTCTTGTTATCTCTTGTTCATCCTCTATGTCTCTTCATCCAACCATGGTCAGAGTGATGCTGCATGTGCAACCCCACTGACCCGGAGCGGCACTCACCGGTCCAAGGTGCTTCTCGAGGGGCCAACTTGGCATCCATGCGTTGCACGGTCTCCGCCAGCTTGCTGAGGGTCTCCGAAATACCGGTGACCTGGAATGATGAGAAGCACTGCGGATCAGTACACCTCCTGAAAGAATCAAAAGTTCAAAAGTTGGACAGTAACTGAAACCGTTTGCCCCCTAGAAGGTCATTTTCCTCTAAGGGTGTCCTGGTCAGCTTCCATAATTGTTGCAGGGAGGACAAGCGGGGCCCCTCGTCACTCGTTCAATAGTGGTTAATGCTCAATAGTTCTACTTGTGTGCTACTGTATGTCCAATGTTCAATCAATAACTCCATGACTCAATCATTGCCATCACCACGTGATCTTCGTGAAGACCACAGACTCGTCTTGTCCATGTTTCGCCTCACGGCCACCCTCTCGCCTCACGGCCATAGGTGTCGAGCGAATGCGCCAAGCGGTTCACTTTGGTCCTCAAAGTTCGGTAGCGAAGAACGAGGAAGAACGAGCGAAGAACGAGGGCCCGTTTGGGTGTTTCAGGGCCCAGGGCCCAGGGCCCAGACACGACCTGTTTGGGAGTGCCAGGACGGCCGAGAAAAGGCAAGGGGTGGTGCCAGAGGGGTCTGTCTGGGGCGGCATATATTATATCAGTCCCATTAGTCGTGTCTGGGCTGGAGAACCTGCAGCCCCACATCGAAGTGAAACATTGTCTTGCAGGGAGTGAGTTTCATCGTGAACCCCATGAGACGGAGACACTGAAGGAGACCGCCCACACCGCGAGGAGATCTGTGTTGTCCCCTTCTGAGACCTGTGAAAATCACCGTCCCTCAATGAAGGGACCACCGCTGAAATGTGCTGAAGATTGTGACCTCACCATGCATTGATGAGGTCTTATGATGCTTGATGCCTAAGTTGTAGAGTTTGGCTTCCACTGATATTGTCGGGTATTTCTGGTGATCAAGTTGTATTGGTTATGAGAGTAGATCCAGGTACCGGGACACCCCGAGCCATTGTACACCAGCATTTGGGTAGTTTGGGGTTGGTACTTTATAGCTAGTGCGAAAGCGCCTATATACATGACTAGGGCAGAATCAGAAGCTTGTTGACCCATGCCCCATGTCTTTTGTGCAAGACGTCAGTAGTTTAATTCAAGCAAACCCTTTAACATCACCCCAACTTGTAATTAAACAATGCCACACTTCGAGCCACCACCCGTCCCTCCACCAACATGATAAAGCTTTTGCATGCTTTCGCTTCGCGACTGACATCTTTCGGGCCAGTCAGGACAGCTCATTTTGAGCCCACAATCCAAAGCACTTCAAACAGTGATGTATTTTTTCTCAAAACGGTACGGGTCAAATAGAAATAGAAAGCTTCAGCCCAAGGTGCCGCAACATTCTGCTGTTTTAGCGTGTTTTTGCCGCATTGCTCCCTTTTGCTCATGACTCCTAGGACTCATATGACCCACCAAATAGGAAAAACATCGAAGGAAAAACTGCCCGTTTCTTAGAGCCAACCATGTCGCCTCTTCAATTTCACCTCTAAGTGTCTCCAGCTGGTCGAGGTGTTCCTTGTGGACCTCTTTGTTCATGAAGACCTTTCCATCGCAAAGCAACCGAATCGAGAGCGGAGGCGCCGAATCGATTGGCGAAAACCTTGGATTCTACTAGGGGAACATAGAGGAACCAATTTTCTTTTGAACATCACGAACATCCTCGCCCCATCCGCCCCCAAAAGACAATGTTCCTCAAAAAGAAGTTTTAGCAGGTTGTCCATTTTAGCAGTCTGTTTTTTGGCAGGGAGATCTGCCAAGCCCGAACAACCACGAAAGCTTAAAGGGGGTACAGGAACATCCAACACAAGGGATTGGTGGGGGGTTGCCCATGTTGTGAAGTGCCATGTTTCCAAACTAGTGCTATGACCTATGCGATTCTCATTGCTGAGCAGTTGGACCAAAAGGCTAGATCTGGGTTTAGCCTCAGCTGAGTAAGCTTTTTTGGGGAGGCTTTTCAGGGGCCAAGCTGCCTCAGCGTCGTCGGTACTTACCGTGCCAGCCGCTGGGTGACTCCTTGCCTTCCCACCCCGGTGACTGAAGTCCGAGTGACATTGGCATCATAATCGGCCCTGTAACCTCGAAAAAAGAGTCGGCCAGCTGCGCAGAGTCGCCCGGAACTGGTCGAACGAGTCGGGTTCGAAGTGAATGCTTTCGATGGCTGCGCAGAGTCGCCCGCCATGTGGCGTTGGAACCCCCTCCCACAGAACCCGTCCGCCGGAAGTGATGCCAGATCGGAACGGGGATGTTGAACTGATCCGAAGAAATTCATCATGCCCCCGGGGTCACAAAGAACATAAACAACTGAACTAAAAAAAGACATTACATTCATGCCATGAAGCACAACTTTGTTCCTTTTAAAGTGAATATCACTGCCATGGCCTGCCCTAATTGGTCATGAGTGCCCCGGGGCACTTCCCACAGAAGACTGGTAGAAAAACAGCAAACATCGAAACTATAGAAAGCGATACCTATAGAATTCATTGTTGACTCCTGTTTTGATACGAAAAGGATGGAAAAGGCATGAAAAAGGCCATATTGGGGGGGCTTGCATGTAGGAAACTGGTGGAAAAGTATGACAAAGCGATGCATATGAGAGACAACAACTATAGGAAGGCGCCATGCAGGCCTCATTTGGAGATGAACTGGATGCATCGGATCAAGATCCGAGCCCTACGGCCCTACGGATTCGTTCCAAGCCGAGCTCCGTCCTCAACTCGATGCCGAGAGGGAGCCACGAACAGAGAAATCACCGACCAAGTGGCAAATCCAAAGGAAATGAGGCCGTTCTGCACCGCGTTTCTGCTCCTCCTTGCATGCATGCGATGCCCCTACATGCGACTACAAATGCCGCCGTTGTTCTTGAACTCGGCCAGGTCAACGGAGGTGGTTACCATATGGTGCTTGGGAGGACGAGTGTCGAACTAAGGGAGAACGAATGTTCAGCTGGACTAAGGAGGTGACTGAATAAAAAGGCTGGAAAGACGTCAACAAGCCCAGTCAGAACGAATCCGAGTGGAATCAAGTGATGAACCACGCCAGCACAAACGGCAGGCCACCACTCGAGCTGACCAAAATCACCACTGGAGGCCAAAAAAGGCCTAACAAGCCTGGAGGCCTTCCAAGATATGTATATATATATATATATCATATAACCCAAACCCAAACAGATAGAAGTTTGATGAAGTTCGTAGATCTCCATGCTGAAAAATGTGTTGGCAACCGTGCCACGGTCCACTATCGAAGAATTCGCTCGCACATGCTCAGCTCGCCCCCCACAGTCGCGTGCACCTCCTCCTCATCGGAGTCGCCGTCCGGATCCTGAAGAGACGTCGAGTTGCCTTAAGGGGTGATCAACGTGCACGCAACGTGCACGTTTCGACGTTTCGACAGCGCCGTCTCAGGTTCAGTAGTGGCCAAGAGCACGTACCGTACAACGTGCGGTCAACGGTGGTCTTGAATGAATGCCGAAGCCAATTGCTGTGCCATGCTTTCAATATTCATTTGCAAACATTGCAAACAACCAATTCGACCAATTGTTCTGAAGGAAAGGTTGCTGCCATCAGTCAGGCGATTTGCCGTTGACTCCTTGCAAAGCGGCCAAACAAAGAGCGGGTGGTGAATCAAACTTCCCCAGAAAACGGTTTCAGACGTGAATCAGCACCCTGAATGCTGTCCCAAGCCTTCCGGTTCTGTAACTTGTCACTTTCCCAAACACGACGAATGGGACTGCCACATAATATGCCGCCCCATTGACCCCCCTTTCAGCACCCCTGGCCTTTTCTCGGCAGTCCTATGGCACTCCCAAACAGGTCGTGTTTGGGGTAGTCAATGCTGATGTTCAACAGGGAACTTAACTCAAACCTATGGCAGTCCCATGTCCAGATGGTGAACCTGGGTTTTGGCCTGGAAATCTCAGTCCTTTTTCTCCGTGCGATCCAAGGGGCCGTAGGGTCCCCGCGCACAGAGGGACTTCAAAATGGTGAGGCCCAGCCCGAGCAGAAGGCCGCTGAAGACCCCGTGGACGAAGGGTAGCCAAATGAGCCTGGCGCCATCTGGCGCTCTAGCGGCTTTTTGGGCAGTCACTGCCGAAGCTGGCTGATGCTGGCAGTCTAGCTATTCTAGTACTTATAATGTCTTCAGCTCGTATCGTTCAACGGGTGATGTTATTTGGCTTTCTCATTTCATCTATGACGACTGCAAACCGGAGAAGGTTGATTTTTTGAAACAAACCAGTTTAAGAATCCATGTGAACATGTGCTCTTCAATATTCTCCAATCCAATTCGTCAAAATGATCCGTCAAATCCCCGAAAAGGGAGTGTCATCCGGAACAGGCTGCTTTCAGGTCCTGTGGCACCCTGGTTGATCAGATTCCTCTTTCAGGGTGTCAACCTACCATAGTTTGGTGGGGACGCTTTCGACTCACAGCCATGAAGACCCATCTTCGGTACCGTGGAGCGCTTCAACCAAGATGCACGATGCCGAGCAAGGTCACTGATGCAACGGTGATCCACCCCACTAAGCGGACATACTCCTTAGAAGAGCGCTCTGAGCAAGAAAATCATGGAGGGGATGTCCCATAACATATACACATTCATATAGAGACAAATGTACCAGGACGCTCCAACAGGTCTCCGAAATGGTGCCTTTTGCAGACTTCAAAATCGCAGGTGGTGACCTGTTGAGGGTGTATGATACATGTTCAGGACGTCCAAACGCCGCACACTGCGTGCGTCCTATTTTCGTGCTCAAGTTGCATGGGTGAGTGGGATGACGATGTCTCCAAACCGGAGTTGATGTACCACAGGAAGATGCAGAAGTGAAATAAAGTGAACCAATATACATGATACGCATATGATATATTAGATGATATGCATGTAATGTATGACTCAGACTTTGTTTCAGAGTCCGGTGAAAATTTTGCGAGGTTCCCTCAAACAATCTCTTGTGCAGCGTTCCGCTGCGTTCCCCTGATTTTTTGAGCTCGCGTCTGGCCACCATCCACTGCTACCCCAATTGACCATCCCTGCACACGTGAAACCATCCGGGATTCGGCGTCATCATCCTTCTCCTCCTCCGTGGCCTCAACCACGGGCCAGGGATCATGCCACAATGAGCTGTACAGTCTAACAATGGCACTAAAAACGGCCACCAAAAAGATCGAAAAGTACCAGGACCCCCAGTCGGGGTGGTTAATGGACACTCCTTAACAGCTGAGGGGCTATAAATGGCTATAAATAGACACCCCACGGTGTCGGGTCCTGGTATAGATCCTCACTAGAAAACTGTATTGGAAAACCGTGCCACGAATACTCTTTGGGGACCACCAGAGCTGTGGCCTCTTGCCGAGGCAGGGGCCTGATGTTCGACCTGATCAGCCGGGGTGCTTGTGGCAGCAACGGCTCCCAGGAAATCCGGTACCCGAAGAGGTTGAAGGTCCTTGACGCCAAGCAAGCAAGCCAGCAACCAAACAAAGTCCCGGTTTGGAGGCGTTCGGGGTAGGTGTGGAGGCTCCAATTCTGAGGCACTTGGAGCCCTAGTTGATTTTAGACACGCAGCTTGCGCCTGGACGCGCAAAACTGAGACCTGTGGTGTGGATACGTGAGATTCATGCATCGCAAACAGAACCATCGCACAGGGAGAACCTAATGACTATGGCGCAAAGAATGCGCAAGTACAGGACTACCCCACCTAACTGATCGAAAAATACATCTTCACAGAAGCGGTGATTCCCTGTTTGGTGTCTAACCTCTGCGAGCCCACCAAGACGATCCGAGACACAAAAATCCTTAGGGCTCCTGGCCCATACCCTCAGAAGGTAGTTAGCCCCCCCAAACCCATCATAACCATCTTCTCCGCAGGTAGTTGGAGCCCTAGGGCCCTAGGGAATAAACATTCAGCAAACATGATACAGCCATGAAGATCTTTCTGAATCAGGGCCCGTCCTCTGACAGAACCTGCTGTTGTAGATGCTTGGCAGCAAATCATCTTTAAGCCTGCACGGCGAAGTGCATAAATAGTGAGAAAAGCGACAATGATTGGTAAGCAGGCTCCGATCAAAGTTCTTCAAAAGCAGTTTCACTTGAAAAACCATGTGTCGGTATGAAGAAGAGACCCTCAAAGAGCCTGTTGGCCTCCAAAAGACTTGCCCACAAGGTTGCACAATATTTATAGCCGTATATATATATATATATACAGTATCGTGGGCTATCTTTATCTTGAAATTCTTGAAACCTACTATTGAAACCACACCTCCCCGGCCCCATCACCAGCACCAGAAGAATCCACAGCGCCCTGCCACACAATATTGGCTCGCGTGTGCGCAACCTCCCGACGAACGACTCGACGCCGCCTGGCGACCGCCCACTCCAGGTACTTGGCCACGAAGCGACGCTCCACACAGAGGGAGTTCTTGCTTTCGAATTTCCACGGCCAGCGAGGGCACAGCAGCACCTCACCGTGTGAAACGGGGCATGAACAGCACCAACGGCCTGTTCAGAACATTGCAGACACAAGTCCAGCCAAGTCTCATATCTTGTATTTTTTGGGGGGATTGGGAATTGATGGGAATTGCCTGCATGAGATGTGAACACCTTGCTTGCACATGGTCGCTTTCACATGCTTTAAGGGATTCTCGCACACCTCGGTCGTCCGTCCAGCCCCGGCTTCAGGTCCGTCGACAGCGCAATTGGCTTGAATGTAGACGTTTGATTAATCAAACACCCGTGTAAAGAGGTTGTACAATCCAAATGGGGGCTTTACGACTGATTGATTTTATCAATGCCAATCCAGAATAAAGAGTCTACATGAGTCTACACCTGGGAAGATTAACATGGAACCTGAAAATTGACCTTTCCCTCTACAATTTAGTGGTTTTCCATGTGGACTTCTTCCCGGGTGTAAACGTATGTTTATGTATTTTTCAATGTCACAACACGAGAATTGAGAATTATTCTGAGGTGCTGGGCTTGTGACTTACCAAGCATCGAGGAGGTTCAACATGGTTCAACCAGGTGCGCCAAATGTAGGACCATCCTCTCGTGTCCTGGCTGGACTACTTACTTATGGGGTCTCCAGCCAGGACACGCGTGGATGGTCCAGGTCTATGATGTCTACGACTCCCTGCAAGACATCGCAGAAGTGGAACCGTTCCCCTGGTTTCGACCATGACATCCTCGAACCAAGAGCCTCTGCGTCCTTCCATCTGAGGGGTCGGGTCCGGCAGAGGCCTGCGACACACACGACGCCCGGTCACCGGCGTCGTAGGACGGCGCACCTCGGTACAAAGACGTGCTCGCCAGCGCCAGAAGTGGAGCCATGACTCTTTGATGGCAGCTTCATACTCCATGGTGAAGACCTGATCGTGCTTCTTGTTCACCAAGAGGAAATCTGATGAAGACCTGTGATGCATCTAGATTTATATAGTGTTGAATGAATATTTTGACATTCATATGTTGACCTAATATGGACCTTTGCACGGACATCACGTCACCGCTCTCCTGCTCTCGTCTTGGTCGAAACCCAGCGAGCCGCCCGGGTCGTGCCCCAGTCCGGCGAGCAAAACTGAGCCGGGAAGGCTCCCAAAGAGAAGGACACGTGCTACGAGCGACCGGTCTTAAAGGCAAATCACGACAGGTTTGGAGGCTGTCGTACCTTCTAAGAAGGTGTTTGGGTGGGTTTGGAGGGTCCAAGTACCGTACTTGGAGCGCTAGGGCCGCTAGGGACAATAAACATCAATAAACTACCTATGTAACTGAGTAGCTAACTGAGTAGTATGGACTTGTGGACATTCGGCCATGGCAACGGGAGATTGGTGACACCATGGTACACCTTCCATGTGACTCATCAAACATTGTCTTGTCCCATCGGACGGAGGTTCTGCGTAACAAGTCAACAAGAAATACGAGTGCCATTTATGCCATGCGTGTGGTCAAAACCGGGGTACCTTGCTTGACCGAAACTGAACAGAATGGAGGAAGGAGGTCAAACTACCCCGGTATGGGGATCCGGGATTTGACCCATCCCATTGATTGAGCGTTGTTCCAAACCAGTTGAGTGGTCCTTACGTCCAGGCTTTTGCCAAACATGGGCACACGTTTTGGACGATCAATTGTCAGTGACCAGTGCACGAAAATGCACGAAACCTCTCCGCATGAAACGATTCACAGCTGGAGCACATTAAATGTGCGGTCTGCGAAGTGTCACCCTGGTCGAAACGCTCGAGAATGCGATCACTGTTCGCTTTTTCGGCTTGTTGCGGCCCAAGATGCAGCGATGGACACGTTCAGTAAGCAAATCGTCACAATGAAGGTGGAGAGAAGTGTGAGATAGGTGTCCAAGTTGTTCCTTGGCAACTTGGCGCATTCGCCAGAAGTGTAACTCCTCGAAGAGAGAAAAGCAAAAAAGCAAAAACATGAGAGGAGCGACTCGACAGGGCTGAATCTGGCTTTTCATAGCGGCGATGTTCCAAGGTGCCTGATTGAGTGACCATCTCTGCTATCAGTTATCAACTCCCAATGTCTAAAGCGTCCGGGAGTGCTCGGGTGTGGAAGTCCAACGGGTCTGGAAAAAGAAAACTCAGAGTCCATAACATCTGGGGTTCAAACTTTTGTGGACACAATTGATCAACTACAAACACTGTATTACTTTTGCTTAAGGCACTGGCCCTTCTTTTCTGGAAGGGGGATTTGAATCCCGCAGGGACAATCAAATCACCCGAAGCAAAACCAGGGTTAGATCGTTGCTGCATGTGCTTAACAGGCTAGCTTCTCTGGCTGGCAGCCACTTCTTGAGAGGGCTCGAAATAAGCTAAGCAGCTAAGCCAAGCTCGGAGTTCGGTTTCAGGATGCTTCAGGCAGTGGATGGATGTGGATGGAGAGCAATTGGCACAAATGTCCATGAACGGACCCCATCTAAAAGATTCCAAAAGACCATGGACCCATCATCGACCCATATCTGAGCCCTTGAGGCTTGGTCGAGGAAAAACAAAACACGTCACGAAGTCTGCTCTCCCCCACGCCCCTGGTCCTTTCTCGGACTCGCCCGAGTTCGCTGGGGGTGATGGTTCCCCCCACTGACTCGGTCCGAGGGGCGGCTGTAATTCTCCACGGTGGTCTTCGCCCTCCATCACGTCCAAGCCTTCCCCGTCGGCCAGGAAGAGGCCCCGGTAGACCTCGCCCAGCGAAGAGCGGACGGCGAGGGAGGAGGGTAGGAAGTAGGAAGGGAAGTGAGACACCCCTCGAGATTTCCGGATCCAATCCCCGGAGTGACTCGCCCAAGGTTCCTCCGCATCGTGGAGGACTTCTCCGCATCGTGACGGCATCCAACCGCCAGACCGCGACGGTCGACGGTGGTCGCACATGGCGCGGTCCCCTAAAAGGTCGCAAAAGACATCGGGGATGGTCTGTCCCCGAAAGTGGTCCCGCTCGGCTCCAACGTGTCACGTCAGATTTTGAATGACTCCAACATATCACGTCCAATGACTCCCAGATGTCACGTCCGGGGTGTGCTCGGCATTGATATTGCTTTAGTTCCAGCTGCAGGTCGGCTAACATTCATGGCCCCCTGAACCATGGGTTTGTAGAGTCCAGTTTTACTGGTGCAGGTCTGCTTCACTAAATCAGCTTGAACACATCTTCGCTTCTTCTTTCGCAAAACTTCCCTCACCTCCAATCTCCCAGAAGCTCAAAGAGCCCCGGCCCCAGAATTTTTAGTGCGCCGCAGCACTCTATGACATCCCGCCTTCTCGATCAACGCGCGCAAGGGCAAGCGCGAGCCCATCACTAAATATGCAGAGGTGAAGCTGGCAAAAACCAAGAACAGGACCTCAGCTACACTCCCTGGAACTAACATGATAAGATCATGGCCCCGAAGGATGGCATGGCCCGAAGGAAGACCATCTTTCTCTACATGGCCGCGGGGGTGAGCTCCACTTCCATGCGAACGCTCGGAGAAAGGCCCGCTGCCATGTCCATCCATCCAAAGGGCCCGCGGTGGTGGCGAAGCAGTTGGGGTCGAGGGCGTCATACATCTTGAGGGCTTCATCGTCAGGCTTTCAAAACATGGAAGTGGATGGCATGGTCCCTTAGAAGACTACGTTTCCTTTACGCAAAAAAAAAAACTTCCATGTAATGTGTTCGTCGGAGTGTAAGCATGTTGAGGCGCTTCATCTTCATATTAAGGGTAGCTTGAGTCAGCTTGAGGCTTCATCTGCTTCATCTGTAGGTTGCTATGCCTGACTTCATCCGATCTATCTGGTGCTCCACCACTCTGGAAGCACCGCCATACCCCCTGGTCTCTCTAGAACGCCACCCGTTCTGGGGCCTGAAGGAGATGGTGCTTGGCTGTGGTGCTTTTGTGCCAAGCATCAGTGAAAATGACACCCAGCCGCATGAAGGAGTGCAGGATTGCCAGCAAGTGCCGTCCAAATTCCAGTCTGGGCGAAGCGCCTGTGCTTGGTGAGGAAGGTGTCGTGTTCGGGTGTGCAGCATATGGATTTACGAATAAATGATGAATATAGCCTAATATAGTAGAACAAATAGGCCTGACGTGCCCCAGAACTTCGAATGACTAATGTTACTCCACCTGGTAGTCATAATCCACCACTACCAGTTCGGGGTAAAGCGAGTCATGACTGGACTCTCGGGGTGCTGGTGCTGAGCCGACTTTTGAGGCACCGCTGATTAAAAAAGAAAGGCCCCAGTCAAGTGACCTTCCTTTAAAAAGCGCCAGTGATGATTCTTTCGGAAACAATAGAAGGGTCAATTTGGTATAGTTGTTCATTCGGGGGTGTCCCCTCCATTAATCAACCAACCAATGGTAAAAGGCTATCTATATGCCCTGGCTCTGGGTTGGGAAATTGATGCATCATATTATCTCCCATGTCCACGGGCCTACAACTGGCTCTGTGTCGATCTATAAAAAATAGAATGTAGTTACTGTAGTTGCTGCCACTTACCATCCACGGGGGCCCTCTTGGTACCTCGTGACCACGCCCTTCCACGCATCTCGCCCTGAGCATGATGGTCGCCAGTCGCTTAATTTTACATGCCAGCACCACCCAAAGGGTGGTTATTGGATGAAAAATACATCTTCAGGGGATTCTGTAAACCACCTTTGGGTGGTGCTGGTAACTATATAATGTAACATATATGTGGTTTAGTAGACTTGCATCAACCCCGAAAGGTGGGTGGGATCATGCTAAAAGTGCACGCGGTCAGATCAGATCGATCTGACTGATCTTCTCCAACCAAACGCTTTTCTCCGTCTTTGGAGGATGTCCGAAGACCATCTCGTCCGCCCAAAATGGCGTGACGGACGAGTCTCACCCTGCAGGTGTCCGAGGCCGCACGTTGCTGCACCTTTCGCCAAGAAGATGAAGAGGAAGCACTGCAGAAGCAAATTCGCGCCCAACAAACTCCTCGCGCCAGCGTGCGGGAGGACAAGCGTTCAGCCAATGTACTCAAGCAAACCAACACATGAATCTATTGGGAAAGTCCAGTAAGGGGCTGTGACGGTGAGCATTCAAGAGCCCCAACAAATACAGCACGAATAGAAATACCACCTCTCGGATTAAGCCCACCAAAAAATATATAGTTATTTGCCTACATTGGGGTGGTTGAAACGGGGTAAATGAGCAGCTCTTGTCGACCCCTTGATGGGAAGGACATCGAGGAAGGACATCCCCGCGCCAGGCAGGACGTCTGCAGGCGGGCAGCTCTGTCGAAGCAGGTTTGGTCGTAGAGGCACTGGGTGCGGCTGACACGTTTGATGAGATGGAAGTGTCACAAATGGTCACGGATTGAAGCTGCAACAAGCTCCAAGGGACCTATATTACAAAAATATATATATATATACAGTATATGTGTGTGTGTGTGCAGTCTTATAGGATTTACATTCACACAAATGTATAATAAGCAGTCCAGAGTCCAGAATCTTCAGCCTCAAACTGACTCTGCCCTGAGGCCCCATCCGCCTGACTCTGCCCTCGCGGCGCTCAAAGCCGGTGTTTTCGCGCCGTCGTCGCTTCGTCGGCATCAACGTCGTCAGACCGGTGGAATCCCGTCAGACCGTGGTGGCTCAATTTCGTTTAAAGAGCCGTGGGTAGTGTATCCTTGAAGTGACCTGCTGCCAAGCATGCCTTCAGATCTCAAAGGCGTCCAAATCAACACTGTGACTTGAGACAAGGTCCATAATTCGCATAATTGGGGTCCCAACCCACATATACAAGTCCCAAACGATTCCCTGTGATAAAATGCAGTTGAGGAGGAACGAGCACGTGGTTCCATGACAAAGCATACGCAGCAGTGAACCAAATAATGCGATTGGTCACGTTCGGTTTTTTCTTCATCCTCATCTCTCCGAGTGGACGTTAGCCCCAAGATCACAGGACCATATAGAGTGAGTTGTGAGAAACTAAAACACCCAAAGTTCTAAGGTCATGACGGTAAGTGATTGTACCATTCTGTTCGCTAGGGTTGCGGGCTTTGATGAATAACTGACAGGAGAAGCCACTTCAGAAAGCTTTCTTGCTCATAGCAACTGCGCCTCTGTTGTAGAGGTGTGGAATGGAACGACTTGGTCTTCAAATCGCCTGGATCAAGAGCGATTACGATGTCGGTAACGGAACGATCTAGTCAGACTGCTTATTGTTTGGCTGTTTTGAGGCTCTCGTGTCCCCTACTCTAACTGGGCATCCACAACTGCAGCCAACTACACGACTGCTCCAAGGATACGGTTTGCATACATAAGGAAAACCTTCTTATTTCAAGACATGTTCATCCATTGTGGTTTTGTCTCGAACTTGGAAATCTAAGAACATGTCCGGTGGACCTTCGTTCAGCATGTCACTAGCTTCTCTATGTTGCACCGTTTTGCACATCAAAATGCTTGGCACCGAGCCAAACCGGGGCCCCTTGGGCCCTCGGTCGTCTCAACAAGTCCTCAGCTCAGTGGGTCGGGATCTCAGCGCGCTTTTCCCCCATCGGCGCCACTGACAATACTTCATACCTGGACCATCCTTTTAGGAGTGTCATACCTGGACCACTCCGCAATTCGAGGGCTCCAGCCAGCCACGCCCAAACAGCATGGTCCTGAATTTGCATGACCCAAACACCGTCCGCGCCGACGTCGTGGCTGGCCGAGCTCGACTCCGACGCCGTGCGCCGTGCCCCCAGCCTCAGCGCAAGGGCTTGGGCTCCTCCCAGGGCTCGGCTTTTCCCGCGAAGTCCCGCTGCAGGGCGCTGAAGCGGAAGTCGAAGCCTCGCAACAAGGACCACAACGAAGCCGGCCGAGAAAGTTCGGAAAGGAACTGACTAAGGCTTACTAAGGGACTAACTCAAACCACCCCCCAAGTCCACTATCTTTAAAATATGTTTTGGCTTTTTTGGGGGGGAGCTTACATCTGACCATAGTAACGACCAATCTGTGATGAAGGGCCCTTTCAAGGCCATGAAGGACCCTAGCTCAAGAGCATTAGTATATCAAGTGGGTGGAGAGAAAACAATATGACACCACCTCTTACCGACGACCTATCGATCTGCCACATCCACCACGCGACGTTGAAGCAGCAGCTCTGCCAGTTCAGCTTCACGACCATTGGGTCCGCACTGCACGTGCACCGCGGGTCGGGGCCCACGCGCGGAGCCAGGTGTATAGCGAAGCTGGACATGGCATCGTCCTCAGTGGAGCTTTCGGGACAACTGGACAACTGCACCCGCCTCATCAAGCAACCACCGATTTTCTACCTCACCCATCTCATCCCTCATCAGGCCCTCATCTTTCAACGCCCACTCCACCTCACGGCGATTAAAGGGGAGACCCAAGGGGCCTCCTGGCAACCTAGAGGCCATGTGGGGCTCGTCATGGCCTCTAGTGCGGCTCACCTACCCATCTCACTCCTCATCCCCCCGCAACGACTCCCAAGTGATCAAGTGTCTGCAGAGTTGGGCCTTGACCAAGCTCAACGCTGCCCAGCGGGCGCCTTTCGCGCCCAGACCCCCCAGGCGCTGTCTGTCGCGCCCCGAGGCGCCACTCGCACGGGCGAGGCCACGAGTGGCACGGCGGGTGAAGAGGTACTCCACGTGGGAGCCCAGGAACTGTTCAGGGACAGCGACCTGAAAAATTCAGGTCCTCTAACACTTGTGCCCAATGAAATCCTTCTGCGCTCTTCTCATGCGGATTCATGACCCTAGGCCAGTTGAAGTCAAACAGGAACTCACCGCGGTGGTCCTCGAAAATTCTTGGGTGAGATGTAAAGTAAGTGTGAAAGTGTGCGCGTGTTTCAGAATGTTCTGGCCATCTTCAAGCAAGAACATGGAACATGCTGCAACACGCTTGCTATTCAGGGCATGATGGCATGACTGTTGAATATTTTTGGACAGCAACCTAATAAATACAAAAAAATAACCCCAATCTGCAAGCATGTGGCTTTGACCACCTTCTCAAACAGCTCCTTCTCCACCTCCGATGATGTTGCTCCAGCAGCATCCAGCACTCCATAAACGATTGCGATGGCCTCCAAACGTTGTGGCGCAACACTGCCATCGTTGTCGGTCTCATTCAGCACCGTGACCTGCCAACGCCGACGATACCTAGATGGGAACCCCTGGAGTCCACGACCATGGAGTCCAGGCGTTTAGGTCTCTCTATCGGCTGTGCCATGTAATTATAGTGTTTGAACTTCTAGGGCACCTACATTTGACCCCTACAACCATCCCAATGTGTATATTTCCACGCTAAGTCCACAGGCTAGTTTGGGCACCACCGAAGAAAAGGAAATTCCTTTCAGATCATCTGCAAAAAACTTGAAAAATCATCCTATAACTTGCAGGATGTATATATGATATTCCATATATGTACAGTAGTGTGTTCGGGGGATCAACTCCATTGATCCAGCGGAACCAGCTCCAACCCGTGGAAAAGGGGGGAGAACCAGCAGAAAAAGCTCGAACTGCTGCAACACATGGCGTTTCGTTGGGCGTCACTGACATCAGCGTGGACGGAGTGCCTGCACCTGAGCATCAGGGTGAAGCCAGGATAGAGTGCCATCCTTGCGCAGTAGATCTATCCTTAGGTTCGCAAATGGCTTCTGGTCCAAGGTATGCACCCACCGGTGTTCCCTTTGGTAGTTAGGCCCGCTAGCCTATTTCGTCTTGATGCCCAGATGTGGCACCTATGGCCCCACAACGGCCCAGCTTGCGACCATCCCCTGACCAGCAAAATAGAACACACCACAGAAGTCAGAATTGAGACAGCCATTGTACAACATCCACTACCTCTCTCTCACCGAGAAAACACACAAGTAAAAAGAACTCTCTCCTCCTTCTGACCGGGTCATGGGCCCTCCTCCTCCCCCCAAAAAAGAAACCAGCATTCTAAAGCCTCCGTCTCCTCTTCTTCAGTTTCCCTGGAAAATAAGGGTTAATTAAACCACTTGTCCTGGGTATAGTCCAAAAATAAGAATGAAACCGCAGTGAAACCGCGCCGCTGTTGGCACATCCTTTGCGCCAGCTGCTCCGTCAACGGCCGCAGCTCCGGCGTCTCGTCGCAGGCGAAGGCCTCCACCGTGGTCACCGCCGATTCGGCCGTTGAAACCGCCGACCAGGCGGAGAGGTCGCGCTCCTCCACGGCAACGATGACCTGAGTCGCGCTTCAGGGCAGTCAGTGCGCTCCAGGGTGTGGGTCTTCTTGGGACAGAACATGGAAAAGACTTCAATGGTGAGTCACTAAGGCGAAGCACGGAGTTTTGGCGGACTTGTTGCCCGTTTTCGCTGGTATGTGAGAGATGTCAATTGTCAAATGACCGTTGAGGAAGGATTCTGTCAAAAGAAACTGTTGCGAGAGCTAGTTACCCCGAGGCCCCCTTTTGCAACCCTTTGTATTCCTTGCAGTCTGCCAAGATATACCGCTCAAATCCGCTCAAGAAAAGGTGACCCCCAATGAAACCTCAGAGACCCTTGCATTTCGGCAAAGCCTTTCTTGCCATCTCGGGATCCACTGGTCCAAGCTGCGCTGGTGCTGCTCCAATCGAGGCCTTTCTCCTCACGGTCGTCGTAGCCCACAGCTTTCACCGCCTCACCTGATGAGCAGAGACCTATGAAGCAGACGACAGCGGCAAAATTCCCAAACCCAGTTAGTTAGTCTTTAGCGATGTTTCCTGGGATGAGCAGAGAGGGAGGAAAAAAATAGAACACATCACGCTTCCCGCCAATCACATTGGCTGCTGCTCAGCTACGGATGACCTGCTCGTATTGGACGCTCGCTTTGCTGGCGACCTCTCCTTAGCGGTTGGCTCCGGCCTTGGCCTGGTTTTCATGTGTTGATTGTTTTGCTCACCAGTTCTCGGCTCAAAACAATGAAGATCACGGTCCTATCAGGCGAGAGAGTCCGTCCTCCCAAGGCTTCCTCCTCAGGGGTGTTGAGTGAACATGCTGGGGGGGGGGGCCGGGAGGGATTGTACCGAAGCCCGATCTGTGGACCGAGTTGATAGGGTCTCCAGGGTTGGATGGCATGAGAGGAGATGACCCACAGCACCATGGCGACGGCGCACCCCGTGGTGATGCAGGAGATGGCACAAAGACTGGATGAAACTGGCACCCTGAAATTGTTGAGCTGTTCATCTCTCTACATCGATTATACGTGTTCTATCATGTTCTATCTCCAGGCATATGGCATCATATGGCATCATATGGATCAGGGCCCCTTTCTGCGAGACCAACCTCACGACATCAAGTCCACTTCTTCTCACGGAGAAGGATTGACTGCCCCACGGCCTAGAGTGGGACCGACTGATGAGGAACATGGTGATTGGGAGGTGACTATAGTGGAGGTGGCAGAGGTGGACCTTCATGACTTTGACCGAGAAACTTCCACCTTTCACTTCAACCTGGGGTTGGTCTGCATTCTTGTTGCGCCCAACTCTATTGATGCCAACCCTTGAGATACCGCTAAACACTAGCAGACCGCGCAGGATTGCTCATTCTGTTCGAGCTGCCGCGCACGTCCACCGGAATCCCCAGCCGAGTGGCCCAGGAGCATCACCATGCCTGGCTTCACGCAGGCATCCAGCTGGGCAAAGGCCTCAGGATCCTCTTTCAGGAGAGCCGCATGGACTGCCTCACCTTGGAGATATCACTGGATCACCCATGATCACCCACCCTTTCAAGGGAACAAGATCTGAAAAATCTTGAAGTGGTTAAGGGGTAAATGATGTTAAATGACTTCAATGGTGGTTGGTAACCACATCATGATGGTGACCACAGGAATAACAGAATCCAAAAAAAAGAAACTATGACACGTCCGAGCCATGGGCTGCGATTCTTGAGAACGAGTCCCGTTGGATCTTTCCTGAGTTTACTCAGCCACTTCTGTACAGGCCGTTGATCCCAGTTTCAGGTTCAATATTGGTCAACTGGAGACACAAACCCCCTGTACATCACGCAAAAGGATCAGAACATTAATTCATTATTGATACGCTATATATATAGGTTATATATATATATAGGGTAAAGAAAGTGGACCAGTTGCTACCGACTACTGAGGTTCACCCGCCCATATTATTTAAACATTGGTAATCCAAAATGACTGGTAATGCTTAAAGACCTATACATCTCATTGTATAATTTAAAGAGTGCAACAAGAAAACCACTTTCTGTCGTGTCTGGCTAATTTGACTGTGCAAAGAGTTCATCCGTGTGATCAATTTTATTTAAGACCCATTTTTGATAACCCTTGAATTAATTGAGTCAATCAAACAAAACGGGTTTTCCGTGGTCGACCACACTCATTCATTCTAGTTAACCGGTAGCAACGGGGACCAAGTAATTACAAAGTACGGTTGCAATTACATAGGGACACGGAACATTGATCATCATTTATGATGCAGTATGAAATTGCGTGCAAGATGTCCAATTCCCCATGCATTCTTGTCCTGCTTGGTGCCACCTTCATGTGCCACGCACCTTCTTGGGACATCACCGGGCCGCCCACCGGGCCGCCCACCGGGCCGCCCACCCGCCCAGTCACACACGCGATCGCAAAGCCGATCGAGATCGCCCTCCGTGGCCGCCTGCGCCGAGGCTGCGCTCGGCATCGGCGAGGGGCTGGCGATGGCTGCGGCAAAGGGGCCAGATGGCTGCGGCTCAACGGATGCACAGAGACCAAGCACACATGAGTTTCTTGGTGTTAAGAAAAACAACAACAACAGCAGCAGCAGCAACAACAACAACAACAACGACAACAACATCCGGGACCTGCCATGATCGCGTGGGTGATTGGCTTTGGGGCAACCATGCAGCAGGTGTTTTCTGCAGCCTCTTGTCAATGATTGTGCGTTTTTCAATTTAGGAGCTGGAATCTGGACATGCCCCCGTCAAAGTGACATACAACAATACAATCTGAAAAGGTGGGTCGAAAAATGTCTTCCAAGGAGATTGGCCTTTTTGCTGGGGAAGTCGTGTGAATTCAATCCAGGCCGCGGCAGCCTTCTTCCACTTCCCCATTTGTGGGACAAAAAGCACCCTATGCATCCCGGCTTTCGGGCAAATGCCCACACCAGACCACAGGATGTTGGAATGCTCTTTCTTTATCCCCGTCCTCTCGAAGGTTCGTTTGTTGTCGCCGATGTCCTCATCCCCGCGCCAGCTGTGATCCAGGTCATAGCCAAAGAAGGTCCTCCAGTTGACTTTTGACTCACCAGAGCTGAGAAGGCGGTGACAAGTGATCGGCCACTGTCTTGGGGAAGGTCAATTTCACATGTAACATGGCTTCACTTCATTCTATATATGATAGCAGCATGGTGACCACCAATTCCAGTCGTGCAGTGAATTGACGTGGGATTTCAATCGAAGACAGTCCCCTCTCAGATAATCTCAGGTTGGCATGGGTTTCCTCAAGAGGACGCAAATAGCCCATTAATTGATGTACAAGGTTCTATAACGTTCTATCGATATCAAGGTGCAGTGTGCAGATACAAATTGTAGAAGTCATAATATACGGTCGGTATTTGGATGTATTTGGGTTTGTGCCATCAAGACTGCTTTGCCCGCATGTAGAAAATTAGACAAGTTGCCTACCGTGTCGAAAGTCTCTGAAACCATTTGCACCTATCCCTTGCGATCCAAGAAGAAAACAGCAAATCCATGCCGTTTCTTGTTCATCGTACCAACGGCGCGCCTGCGCCGTCTGTGCGAAAAACGCGAGCGTGTCGTCCGTCCTCCAGAGGAGCCACCAGAGCAAATAGAGCTGAAAAAGGCGAAAACTGGTCCTTGGCAGAGTTTCTGAACAGAATAGACCAACCTGGGGGTGGGTCAAGCTACCTGGGGGTGGTCCTTGGGCTCTGCGTTTTGACTCGCCAGATCAGTTTCCACATCACCAGGGGAGGCTCGACCCGGAGGTTGTTCAAACATGTTTCCAACCGTCAGCGCAGTCGATGCGAATGTCCTGCCACTTTCTGGAAAATCTTTCTCTCAGAAAGGTGCTTCCAACATCAAGGCTCTAACTTCTCTGATCTGCCCGCTGCACAGCTAGTGGATTCCCTTAGGCTTGCGGGAGAATCCTTGGACTAGCTGTTTCCATCTCCTGCGTGCTTGGTGCTTCACACCCGGCTCCAAGGTCAGCATATCGATGCCTTTTCCGCTACGCGAACGCAGGTATGAACCGCGAAATAAACATGGACACATACATGCATATAATTTATATATATATATATAATATTCTAGAAAGTATACTTAAAATATGGACACTGTGGCAAATCACAGGATGGGTTCTGTAGATGGCGCATGATGGCGCGGGTGTTCTGCCAGTTTCTGCGTTACGTTTTGCTCCGCCTCACTGACGGTCAATGAATGGATTTCAATCCAGTGTGTCGTTCAAAACTGGAGCATGTGGGCTTCCAAATGAACAAGGCAAATGAATCTCATACAGGTTGGTTCCTACAGGCTACATTCAAACACAGTTTGTAAAACACTACATAACAAAACTAGGGGGTGATGCCATCCACTTGCGCATGTTCAAGTCTTATTCCAAGGTGCATGGGGTGAAGGAAGAACTGCTTCAGCGTCCATCCATGGGAGATATGGCCTGAGACACGCAATCTTCCGATGAGTTCAGCCCCTTAGGCCGATCGCCGATCGCGCGAGTCTAAAAAGCGCGAACCGGTCACGCGACGGGATCGCATGCTGTAGCAGCTGTAGCAGGTGTTGGGGTGTCTGCTGCTACATGACCCACCGGACAGGAACTTGGAATAGCTTGGAATGCTACTATAGACAGTGACAACAGAAAAAAAAATACTGTACCTAAAGCTTGTCCGATACAGTGACAACGGCTTTTGGCTTTCAGACTGACTCCAGTAGACAGAAAGAACCAAAACATGAAGCTACCCGTTCAGATGCAGACTCTCTACACCCCCGCTGAACCTGCAGCTCGTGGTTTTCCATGGTGGCATGCCATCCCACCATCCACCGCCCACCGCCCACCACGCTCTCCGCGCCTCGCAGCCACCAGGTGATGGTGATCGACTCATTGATGAAAATCGCGAAGATCACCTCGCCGGCATCGGCGAGGCACCGGCAAGGTGGGATCTCCAAACCGGCCGAGCCCGGTCTGGAAAACCGGTCAGATGCGGGGCAAACGGATTCTCGCTTCGGGAATCCGTAGAACATGGATGGATTTGACATGAACTGATGTCATGATGTTAAACGATCATGACCATTGAGTTGTGAAGCCCAACTCAAGACACCACTCATGGTTTTGCTGGGCACATACGCCGGCATGCGCCACATGCCGGCTGAAATGTTGCCCAGCGGCCGCCCATGCGATCTTCTTCGTCTGCGGGAAGATCCAGAATTCACAGCCAAAGGACCAAGACCTCACAATAGTATACTAACAATTGTGAGGATTGCATCCTTGTAATTCAAAAAGTTCGGGATCATATTGGATAATCGAACATTTTTATACCCTATATTTATAGGGAATGGACCGGATGAAGCTTTTCTAGGCGGGTCGAGACGTGTCCATCTGGGACATGGCCTCGCGGACGCTCGCCGACTCGGTGGTGGTGCCGGTGGCAGCCGTTCAACGAGACAAGCGGAAGTCAGATGGCACTAAAAAGATCTAAAAAGCCTCACAGTGTCACAGTAGACACTTAAAATCACCTGTAGTATCACTTAGTTCCATCATGTTCCACCCTTTCTCTGGTCAGACTGGGTGCCCTGCTGGTCTTTTGGACGGTCACCGTGCTAGTTTCTTGGGATGGCAGGGCTGACCCGTTTTGCAGATCCTATGGTTGGAGGTCGGAGGTGGGACCTACAGCAGCCCCAGCACAATCACTTGAAGCTTCAAAGTAGCAGGAAGGCCGCAAAAAGGATCGTCTCTTGAATCCTTGGCTGGACTGTGGGCTGCAAAAAGAACAGGCAAACAGCAGCATCCGAACAAATGCTGCAAACCACCACCTGAAGCATGTCCTGCTGGATGTAAAGGCTATAACGCCTGAAATGCCACTGATCCAGGTTTGTGAAGATGCTCACCCCATCCGATAAGTTATCATCCGATGACACTCCTCAGCCCCAAAATCCCATTGTTCTCAAGAGGCAAGGCTGCACTGATGGGCCGAAAGCAAAACTGCTCGTAGCCAGCTGAAAGTATCGCCTGAACGACCTGGAAGGAGTTGTTTTCTGGCCACCTGGGGAGACCTTCGTGGGGAAACAGCTTGGCCGAAGAAAAAACATGGACACTGACAATCGCCTTCAGGGTTTGATGATTCTCCAGGAGCATGAAGGAGCTAGCTAGTACCAGGGGTGAACTCAGGGTCTCATAGTATAGTATATAGTATAAGTAGAGTAGTATAGGGTGAGCTATAGTATACTGTTCAACGCATGCCGCACCGTTAAGTCCGAAGCCCACCCAATATGCCATGCAAGATGAAGAGCATTGAAGAGGTCCATTCTTGGTGGAGTTCAGTAACTGTTGGGCGAAGGTTCACGACCAGGAAAAAGCTTAGATGTACAAAATACAGTATAAATACATGATAATACATGCTCAGAGTGATTCTTCCATACTTAAGAAATACACACCTACTTACACTTCAAAAGAACAGAACATCATCCACCTTCTCAGCGAAGATCTCGCTCCAGCCGACGCTGGTCAGCGCCATCATCACGCGCACCTTGCGTCGTCGCGTTGGGTGATCGAACGAACGGTCCTTTGGTTCGTTTCACCAGGTTGTTTGCTGAACCACCTGCTACCAGAGTGAGAGAGGATCGGGAATTCACCACTCGGGCGGCAACCTGGACATGGATGCCGCATGGTTGGATGCGTTGCCCCGGATGAGGGAGAGTAACAAACGCCCAGCAGGCGGAGGGTGTCTATTCGTGAAACCTTCCACCTGATCGGTTCGACTACTTCGCGTATGGCAGCATACAGCATACCTACCTCTTTAAATCTATATATTTGTGATTATTTGTGGATCCATGGTAGGGCCATGCCTGCCTTGCCCACCCAAATTACCCACAGGCACATCCAAGATGTTGGCCACCAGCAGTACCTGGCACGTGGATCCACGAGTCGGCGCTCGGATCCAGGTGTCACCGTGGGACCCCCCAATGGCCGCTTGGTGATTGAAATGGCAGTCAGTGAAGTGGGACAATCATTCCTGGCAAAAGACTTCGGGCGGACAAGAATCAATTCATTGCCTTTCAACGAACATCTGTGGGAACAAAATATCTACAGTCATTCCAGTGCACGTGTCCAGTAAAAAATGGAGTTTAAAAGTAAGAAACCGGAACTCCTCGGCGCTCACGAGACGAACCGGCCGAGTTCGCGCCGGCCCGCCTTGATGCACACGTCCCGATCGCCTGCGTCAGGTGTGGCGAGGCCGCTTCGCCCCATCCCAAAGTGGTGAAATGGACATCCTCTCGATCTAGTGGTCCCCAAAATAGATAGAAACGGTTTCCAGTACTTGGTGACAGGGACGATACTTTTCTATCTATATAATGGGAGGTCATAATGCACGGCAATTAGATAGAAACACCTGTCTTGCCTGCAGCAAACAGCTTGCGGAAAGAAGCATCACAAACCTGCACCTATCACACCCCCCTATCGATTGAAACCTGGGTGTTCTCATCATGAATATTTATGTTTACACCGGTGAAAAAAATCACGGAACGGAAAACTAGTTTCGGCATATTTAAACATGGAACTCGTTTCACCGCAACTCCTGGGGAATTGGCATTGCAACTTGTTTCGGTGGACAGGCAGGTTTGAGGCACCCTGCAAAGTTAACATAGAATATGTTTTATGCCCGTGCTACTCCCTCAGATGGCCTTGGGAACATCCTTGTTTGAGGCTCGCAAATCTAACATGAAACGGGGGGGGGGCACCCAGAATTCTAGGGTTTAAATTTGGCCCTGACTGATACCAGGTCCACACAAGGTTATCAACCGGAGGTTTACTGCTTTGCGCAAATTTAACATGGAACGTGCAAAAATGCACTTATGCACCCTGGCACTAACATGGAACTGAATCGGAAAATCTCATTTTTTCATCGAGATGTTTTTTCCCCGGAGTATCAATTTGTTAATATTTAAGTAATTTCATATGAAATCGATCAAGAATGACTTGGGTCAACTGTAGCTGTGGCGATCCCAATCAGCTTTCCGCGTCAGCCTTTTTCGAGCAGAAACACCACTCGTCACTGAAAACGACCACCAAAATGACCCTGACAACCTCTACCAAAACTCTTGGGGATCTCTTGGCAGTCCAACAGCCAAAAAAAAACCATCCGGCACCCCAACAGCACCCCATGGAAAAAGGCTGGACCGCCCCAGCGCCGTCCACGGACGCGGCGTCCACCCCGCGGCCGCGTGACACGTCGTCCCACGGACGTCCTCCGTCCTCATCGTCCGCGGACTCGCCCGGCCTTCTTGGTGCAGCTGCTTCGCCGCTGACGATCCCATCTGATCGGCCCAGGAGGGGCCGGACAGGCTCGCCCTGAGGAAGGACGAGGCGTCCCGTCCCGTTCACCGGGACGGCGTCACCGGGCATGGCGCGACCGTGGTGTCCAGTATAAGAGCGGTGAGACTGGAACAGTTGTTCGTTCAGACTGGTGAGGTCTGGATAGTTTGAGAATTTTGAGGACTGAAATGATGGATTTCTCTCTACCAAACCGAGGATTGGAGGAGGGCAATGCCGTGGACTCAACCATGAGCCAATGAGGAAAGAGACCAACATCGGTCCGGCGGCGGAAATAGAAAAAAAAATCTTGTTTGCTCAGAGTTGCTTCACAGCCTTCACATTGCTTCAAGCTTTTGTTGGATGATTGAATTCAGTGATTGACCCGTCTCAGACCTTCCTTCCCGACGTTTTCACATGTTCACGATGATGTTCACAGCTGCCTTTCGCTCACGGCTGAGGTTGCGAGCGGAACCGCCACAACCGTCAGCCGTGGGAGCCCAGCCGTCAGCCGTCTCTTGAGAACTTTGTAAGCCGGTGTGCAACCGTTGAACCTTATTGCCCCACATGATGTGGTATGGCCCTAAGGCTGGCCTAGCCTCTACCCAGTTGACAGTCCCCAGGTATCCCTGGGAAGAGTCCATGAGCATCACTTTTTTGAATGATTTGGACCACCCTACCAAACCGTTTGGCAGGAAGAAAAGGAATGGATACAAATATAAGTTATAAGTCTATAAGCACCTGGTCATCCAAACAGCGACCTCAGTACAGCCCTCAGGTTCACCAAACAAACATAAGCAGGTTCTTTATTATGATTATATTTCTTTACATTATCAATCATAGCAAAATCATGACATTCAATTACCAATTAATTATATAATAACCCAAAATGATCTTGGGTTGCATGGCGAATGGGAAAGACTCTTCTCCTCAATTATCCCTTTGCAAGGCCCTGCCCAGCGGCCTTGTACAGGAAGCCTTCGGAGCCAATTTGGAATGCCAGATCTTGTGCTGCCGCAGCCAGCAAGGCCACTCCTCGTCAGGGTCCGAACCACCCCGTTTTGCCCTCAGAACCGTCTTGAAGTGCCAAGGCTGCCAGTGTTTGGCCGCCGACATTTTGGAACAAGCGCACGGCAGCGACGCATCTGCCTTCGGCCTGCCTAGAATAAGCTGCAAAAACAACAGGTATTGGATGGTCTTGGGGGTCGTGGGAATCCTCTTCGGGTTGTACCTGGGAACACGACACCACAACTCACCGTCCTCGTGCACTTTGTCGTCACCTCCGAAGTCATACTGTGCTTGCCTGCGACGTCAGGTCAAACAAGCAGCCCCCTAGTTAAAGCCAAAGCTCCTGCCCTGATACAAGCCATCTTGAATCTCGAATTTCATCAAACTCCCTCAAGTATGCCTTGACGTGTGGACGGGTCAGTATCTTCTTGTGCTTCTTGGACAGCGCGGGCAACCCGGCCTGCTATTTCGCGACCAGCCGGCCGGCCGGCCGGCCGGCCAAGTAGTAGTAGTAGTAGTAGTAGTA